GGTGACAGCTCAGTCTCCTGAAGATACTGAAGGTGCGGCTTTGTTTTGGTTTTGTTTTTAAATTCAGGATTCACATAAACATGATCAGGTGCATAAATATTCTGTTTGTAATTTGATTTATTTCTACTTCTGTGTCCCTGTGTGACCACTGCCTAGAGATACAGCTTGTTCCCAGCGTCTGCAAGACTCTGTTGTGCCTGTAGTGCTGTATGTAAGAACCCCTGTCCTCCTTCCTGCCCCCACGGCCTCATGAAGATGATTCATCATGTCTTCTCCTAGTAGTTTTATGATTCCAACTTGTGCATTTAGGTCTGTGATCCCCCCAAATGAAAGCCAAAGCCTCACACATGGATCTTCAGAAGCTGCTTTGTTCATAATGGCCCCAGCTAGAAATAACCTACATGTCCCTCCCAGTAGAATGGGCTAACAAATTGCAGCTTGTTCTTTTTGTTTGTTTTGTTTTCTTATTTTTTTGTCGCCCTCAGTAGAGTGCTGTGGCATCACAGCTCACAGCAAGAGCTGGAGAGCTCTTGGACTTAGCGATTCTCATGCCTCAGCCTCTCAGCCTCTCGAGTAGCTGAGATTACAGGCACCTGCCACAACCCCTGGCTATTTTTTTGTTGCAGTTTGGCCTGGCTGGGTTTGAACCTGCCACTCTCAGTATATGGGGCTGGTGCTCTACCCACTGAAACAAAGGTGCTGCCCACAAATTGTGGCTTATTTATAGTGGAAGACTATGCAGCATTGGAAAGGGAGGGACACAGATGCTGCATATGGCAACGCAGATGGTGCAGAGCAGCAGACACCAGCACAGCCATGCACCCAGGGTGAGTCCAGCTAGTTAGGATGCAAGGGACCCAGGGATGGCCCTCAGCACAGCAGGGCATGGTGTGGAGTGGTGAAGAGCATGAAAGAGCTTTGTAGGGGCTTGGCAGATGCTCTGAATCTCTCACATGGAAGCATTTCTCTGAGACCCTGTCCATACAAAAGTTGGTTCTGGATCCTGTTCACTGATGGATTAAGATTGCTGCCCCCACCCCCAATAATCCTGCCCTTGCCCTCCTGCCGCCATGTCATTACAAGCATTGCTAGGGTAATTCTTCCCAGTGGAAAAGAAATAGGAAGATTTCAACTTCTTCGTAAGATGGAAAAGAGGTTTGCCCTAACTCCTGATTATAGATATTGTCCTCCTATTTAATTTTCTTTTGCTGAGTCAAGGAGATTGGACTTGAAGTAGCTTTTTATTGCTTGTTTTAAAAGGGAGCTTGGTTTTGTTGGAAGAGGTCGACTCTTTTTTATTCCTCCAGGGAATTATTATCTTTGTGGCTTAAGCAAAAGGAATTGGGGCCAATCAAACTTTATTTGGAGGGGAGAGCTCTTAAAAGTGAAAAAGAAAACAAGTAGCCTTAACATTTTTGGGCATAAGCCCTTTGAATTCTTTGGTGAAATAAGCCCAGGATTTGGTTAAATGTATATAATTCATGGACAAATTAATTTGCGGTGAGAGTTTCCTGATTTTGGAAGCCAAGAGCATTGTTGTTGAAGATCAACTTTTCAGGCAATAATGGGTGATTTTCATAGTATGGCTTCAGATTAGATTTAGATCTAAAAGGAGAGGCATAAATGAGAAGATGAAATTGGAACATCTGATACCAGAGAGACCATTCTGAGGACACAGGATCTGCCCGGGCCACTTGGGCCTCAGGGGAATTGAGCAGAAGCCCTTGTGCCCACCCGCATGCAGTGCTGGGCTTCAGGAGCCTGGGCCACTGCGACAGCGTGCTATGATAGAAGGTGGTGAGCAGCCCCACCTCTCCTGAGCAATTGCCATGACTCCCTGTGGCTTCCTTCATCTGGAAAGTGGGCTGTTCATAGCAGCTGGCTTGCAGATTAACATGAGGATGAATAGTGGGTGAGTCTTGTGAAGTCCTGGGCTAACACCCAGCACGTAATAGGTGAGAAGATCCCAGGTTCAGATTTAGACTTGATGAGTGAAGTCCTGGTCTGGAGTTCATATGAGAGGCCCAAGCTAGAGATGCAGGAGTCATTGGCTTATGAATGAAATGTGTGGAACTGAGCATTTGGGTGGGTGTGTAGGGAAGGGGTAGGCTGTGGGCGGAAGAGGAGGTGCCCACGGGGAAGGCCAAGAAAGAACATTCCCTTCCAGGGAATGAAATCAGTTGGCTCTTGCATGTGTGTTATTAAAAACCAGGAATCAGAATTGACCTCTCATGTGAGAGTTGTTATCATTATGTTAAAGAGGTTTTTAACATGTGTATTGGCAGATTATAATAGCCATTTATCATCAGAGATTTTACCCCCTGAGCTGTTCTTAACTTGGGTAATTTTTTAAAACCCATTGATTTCTCTCTCACTTCTCTGGTTTTCCCATGGAGTTAAGTAGTTCTGTATGTCCCTGGAAGGAGCTGGGACTTGCCAAAGGGTAATGAAATAGTGTTCATGTTTTGTAAACCTAGAACGTTTTCTTGAGAGGTACAATTTGATTAAAATAAAGAAGTTGTATGCCCTGGGTGTGCTTGTCCCATCTGGATGTGTCCAGGTGTCCTACCTGTCCCACTGGGCTGATAAGTAGTCCAGATCATGCCGTTAGCCCCTTCACTCCTTCCCCAAATTGAACCCACCCTCGTCTGTGTGGTGGTTTACATGATCCGGCCGCAGCTGGGCTGTGCACAGCCCTCAATGTGCTCTATGCCACCTTGGGCGGGGAGGTGCTGCTCTCTGCTGCAGCATACAGATGAAGACACGAATGAACAGAAAGGTCGAATAGCTTGTCTGTCCCCAGAGTCTGTGCCTTACATCAGGGCTGCCCCAGATTGCCCTGCATCAGAATCACCAGAGAAGCTCTGGCACACTGTGCATCCCTGGGCCTTGGATGGTGGGTTTGCAAAGGACTGCCTCTCTCCACACTTGATCTTCAGTATGTTGGTGGAAAAAAGTAACAACGGTGGGGTCTTCCTAAATATCTAGATCAGGGGTCATCTAGATTTTTTTTTTTGTAAAGGGCCAATAAGTAAATGCCTTGAGCTTTGCAGGCCATGTGGTCTCTGTCACAGCTTCTCAATTCTGCCATTACGCAGATGTTCCTTGACTTATGATGGAATTATATCCTGATAAACTCAGTATACGTTGAAAGTATTGAAGTTGAAAAATGTATTTAATGCATTTAATAAACCTAACCTACCAAAATCATAGCTTGGCCTATCTTTGATCTTGCTTGGAATACTTAACAGTAGCCTAAAGTTGGGCAAAACCATCTCACACAAAGTGTTGAAGATTTCCTGTAAGGGTATCATGCTCCATATTGCTAGCCCAGAAAAAGATCAAAATTCTGGTTTTTACTGAATGCATATGGTTTTTATACAATCATAAAATCAAAATATTAGAAGTCAACCCTTTGTAAGTCAGGGGCTGTTTTGCTAAAGCAGCTGTAGACAATAGGTAAACAGGTGGGTGCCGCTAGACATGGCCCATGAGCCAGTTTGCCTACCTTGATCTAAGTAACAAATCTTATGCTGGTCAGACAAGGGATGGAACTTGCCACTCTCTTGAGGGTGTTTAGACTTATGAAGAATATACCACAAGCGGATGATACAACCCATTCAAGATGTGTGGGATTGGAATTGCATCAGCTGCTGATGTAAAGAGCCCCCTTACTCAAGACATTAGCTTAAGTAAGTTAGAGGAGAATATTTTTGTTTTGTCAAAACATCTTGAGTAGTTAACCTGATAATTGGTATGGTGGTTCTACCATGTCATCAGACACCAGAGGCCCCTACAAACTTGAGCATGTGTTTCTCCATCTAATCCCACTGGGAACTCCTGCCCGTTCATTGAGATTCTTTGGTATAAGTCTTCATTCCTTCCTCTACGGTCACCATACCAGGTCCAAACATAATCTCTGTATCTGAGGATGATGGGTGGTTTTCACGTAGAGGCAGAATTTATCGCTTGTATTATAGATGCCTGTGTTTATGGTTAAAGACGTCTTTAAGATGTGTATTGGCATCCATTGATGGTAAATTCCAATAGCCGTTTATCATTGGGGGCTTTAGTTTTGGGGCTTTTCTTAACTCATGTAATTTTTTAAAAAATGAATTGATTTCTCTCTCACACGTCTCTGTTTTTCCTTGTAAGGTAGTTGCTTTGTGTCTTTGGAAGCTACTAGGGTTGTAAAAAGTTGATGAAATAGCCCTCATGTTTTGTACCCCAGAGTATTCTCTTGAGAGGCACAACTTGATTAAAATAGAGGTTTATGTCTCAGTTGTTATTATCCTATTTGGGTGTGACATTCTCTCTAGTTGGGCAAATTGCAGCTGTGGTCCCCTCCCACCTTTCCCAAACTCACGTCTACCTGTCTGTGTGGTGGCCCGTGTGATCCCAGGTGTGGCTGCGTTGCGTGGATATCAGCGTGCTCTCCGTGAGCCTTTGGAGGGAGGTGCTGTTACCAGCTGCATTCTACAGATGAGGAAACGTGGCCAGAGAGGCTGAGCAGCAGCAAACCACTAGTGCTACAATACACACATGATGAAACATGGCACTGCCTCTCTGCTCTTACCTGGGCTGTTGATCTCTGTTGATGTTAGGGGAATCTCTGTTGTTGTTTAGCCCAGGGGTCCTCAAACTTTTTAAACAGGGGGCCAGTTCACTGTCCCTCAGACCGTTGGAGGGCTGGACTGCGGCCCCTGGGATGAGTCAGCTGCTAAGCAGGACAGACAGCAGCGGCAAAAACTCCCAGTGGGCCGGATAAATGTCCTAGGCAGGCTGCACGTGGCCTGCGGGCTGTAGTTTGAGGATGCCTGAGCCAGTACCATGGAGTCCTTACTCTGTGCCAGGAGCTGCTAGCCAGTGGTATAAGGGCTGATGTGGCCCTTGCCCAGGTAGAGCTGGTTTTCATGGGCGGAGCTTTGCTGAAATCCTAATTTCTTATAAGTGAGGGCTTTAAGAGAAGTTTACATTTTCTTTCTTTCTTTTCTTGATAGGTCTATATTCGGATAAAAGACGATGAATGGAACATCTACCGGCGGTATACAGAATTCAGGAGTTTGCACCACAAGTTACAAAACAAGTACCCTCAAGTGAGGGCCTACAACTTCCCACCCAAAAAGGCCATTGGAAACAAGGTACCAGTGCCCAACGGGGCCAGGCAGCCCACCTGTCTCTGCCTACATTGAGGCTGTTGTTCCTTCTTCTTTGGTCTATTATTTTAAAATGCATTTTCTTTGAAGAAAAGTTGGCTAATGTAAGAAAGAATAGAAACAAAAAGGAAATAGTCACCTGTAAGGCCACTACTTAAAGACAGTCCCCACTACGTAGTCTGCGTGTCCTCTGATTTCTGTTGGGCAGAAGTTGGAAAGCTTCTGTAAAGGGCCAGGGGTAAATATTTTTGGCTCTAGGGGAGTGTAATATGATTTCAGCAGAAAATACCCAACTCTGCCAGTGTAGTGTGAAAGCAGCCTTGTACAGTATGCACCCAGACGGGCATGGCTGTGCCCCAATAACACTATTTTTAAGACTAGGTGGCAGCTGGATTTGGCCTGTGGATTAGGGTGCTGGTCACTGTACTCGACCGAAGTATTTTTTCTAGTTTTTATCCATAGTTGTCATACTATTATTTAACAATTTGGACTTATAACAGTGGAGTGAAATTTCCTCAGGGAAGTTTTTTACTGTTACTGCAGGGTCACTTGCCTTGTGAAGCTTAGTGACACATGATGACTGGCTCTGTGTGTCCATCTAGCCCTCCTGAGAGCAAGCTCCTGCCCTCCACAGCTTCCCACTGACTAGTGTCCACCCATTCAGCAGGCGTGTTTGGGGCCTGTTACCTGCCACTGTGTAGGGTCTGGGGCCGGCGCTGAGCAACACAACCCTGTGTCCGGGCCTGCATAGCACCCTGTGGATAGTCCCCTGCAGCAGCTGGCCTGTTTTGTAACCTCATGTTTGCTTACTGGAACGGTATTCCATGTGGCTGTACTTCAGCTCACCTGGGGAGGACTTCCTGTGTCCCTCCTCCTATTCTGATCCTGTCAATCCAAAGTAAGAACTGGGCATGGAGGGGATGGGTAGCTCTCTAGGTGATTCCAATATGGAGAACCCCTCGCTCAGAATCAAGAAGGCAGAAGAGCATCTGCAGTCTGAGTGCACATTCACTAACTCGGCAGCACCGTTCAGCCAGATAGGGCAGCGTCATGGCCCTTCTCAAGTGCAAGGAATCAGCCTTTATGCTGTCGTGAGAGCAAGCCCCACCCCCCACCACCCCCCACCCCCCTGCAGCACAGAGCTGGGTAGAAATCCACATTCTGAGGTTCACCCTAGATGGTCGGTGTGCAGCTCTGACCCCGCAGTCTGGGTTTGACCAGCCTTCAGGGTGATGCTCGTATGTGAAGAGGTGTGAGGACCACTGTTCTGGCCTATTGAAGAGGCCACGTGACAATATGCAAGGCATTCTCTGGTTTCTCTTGTTAAGAGGTACCTTGCTAGGACTTATTTTGACCTTCATTGTAAGAAAACAGAATAGGAATCTCCATTCTCACTCCCAGCACTTGGGAATTCCACCAGAAAAACTGCTATTACTGATTGTTACGCTTACATTTGTATAGATTTCTGTTTAAGTCAAATAGAATCTGCACATCAAGGATGCTGGATTTTAATTTTAAACACCCTTAATGTAGGTTTTTCTCGGGTCCAGAACAAATCTGTCCTTCATTTTTCTGTTAAAGAAAAATGGAAGACATAGAAATTCTACACTTGTTCATAACAAGGAGTACAATAATTCTTTTGAAATAAAGGGAAAACTATATACTGATTTAATCTAATGAGCTTGTGGACTCATATAACTCTTGGGACCCATCTAGAATACCTTAAAATATCATAAAACAAAATTCTGCCTGACCAGTGCTTTGTTCACTGTATGAACAGTGCATTATCACTGTAAAATATTCTCATTTTCGAAAAGCATTACCCTGACCAGCCCACCCATGACGCGTTCCTCAGGGGACTTGGCCTGTCTGCCGTCTTGCTCTAAGGGAAAGCTGTTCTAGCGCAAGGCTAGATGGAGGGGATTGGGATGGTGACGTGTCTTGTGCACGGTAAATCCTTAACATCATCCACAGCTGCTTGAAAACTGCAACTTTAAGCAAAATGATGTACTTTATAATAAAATGAATTCTGCCATAGGTGAATTGATAGAAACAAGAGTTCCCGTAGCAGACAGTGCGTCCTTTCATCTAAAGCTGCACTTTCCAAGAATCTATTAACAATGTTACGTGAAGACCTCCTGTGTTAATTTCCTGTTGCTTCTGCAGCAAATCATGACACATGTAGGGACCCAGAACAACACAGGTTTATCATCTCACAGTTCTGGGGGTCAGAAGTCCAAAATCAGCCTCATGCAGCTAAATCTGCCAGCGGGTCTGGTTCCTCCTGGAGCTCCAGGAAAGAATTCTTCCCTGGCCTTTCCCAGCTTGGAGAGTCCCCTGAAATGCTTGGCTCGTGGCCCCCTCTGTGTTCAGAGAGAGCAGTCAGGGCACTCTGACTCCTGCTCTGTCATCACAGTCATGCTCCATTTCTGATTCTGACCCTCCTCCTCTTAGTAACCCCTTGTGATCACATGGAGCCCATCCGGATCATTGAAGATAATCCTCCCATCTCAAGAACCTTAATTTAATCATGTCTGCTAAATCCCTTTTGCTACGTGAAGTTGTGGGAATTAGGATTTGGAGATGGGGGCTGTTCTTCAGCCTACACACATCATACCTTGCTAAACTAGATGCTTTCTCTGAAGCCAAAGCAGCTCCCTTCCCATCTCATACCTTCTTAGGCCCCATAGTTACGCAAAACTTGTTTAAGGCAAAACACATCTGCTGAGAACAACAGCAATCCTAAGAATACTGGCAGGCAGATGTTAAGTTTGGTGAGGGAAAGCTCAGACCTGAGGAGTGGGAGGGTCTTTCTGGGGTTACGTCAGGCAGAAAGAGAGGGAGGCAGCCCCGAGTCTCATCCATGCCAGGAGCAGGGACCGTGAGTGGGTCTCCCCTTTGTAGAGGTTCATCCATGGCCCTAGTTCTGCTGTCCACCCTCATCCCCAGGCCAGAGAAGATCCCTCCCTGTCAGTCCTGGGGCTGACTCCAAGGGCAGTGGACCTGTTCCCCGTGAAGTCTGTGTCAGGAGAGCTGTGTTCTTCTCTTACCCTCTCCCAAAACCCTGCTTGCAAACGAGAAAGGATGAAAGGTCGCACCTTAGAGAGCCTGGCCAGTGATGACCAGCTTGTCCAAGTGCACCAGCTATTTCTTAACTGATTGGTCGTCTTGCTTCCTGTGGTCGCAGGTCGATCTGACAGTTTGCTCTGTTGCTCAGAAATCTTAACACCTTGTGAGCAGTCTTGGGGCTATGGCCCCGTTTCTAGCCTGTCCTACCCTTTGACTTTTAACTGCCCAGTCGAACCATGGCTGTACTTTGATTCCTTCTCTGCATTTGCCTAAGACATACCTACTTCCCTTACGTCCACTCCGGCTGCTGCCCAGAACAGATCTGAGCACTTCTTCCACTTTTCAAGAAAGGATTAAGTCAAGATGTAGGACAGTCAACACCCAGCAGAGGCTGCTGATGAGCTCCTTACAAGCCCAGCTTTCCCTGACCCCTGCTGGGCCTAATAGTTCAGGGATACATCTTTGATATCCTGAGGGCAAAATGTCTACAGAGTCTTGATTCTAAATTGGCCCAGAAAAATCAACCACATCAGAGTCTTCTCTCTGATTAGGTCACTTCAGAGCTGACTCAATGTCTGCTGGGACTGGTAAGGCATGCAGAGACATATTCAGGTTGATTGAATTTTGCATATCTTGTTGGTATAGGCCTTGGACCCGTTAAATGATTCACTCCAGAATCCATAGGCATGGACATTATTCAAGGAAATATTAAACTGAGTTTAGCTTTGTCTCATTTGTCAAATTTGAACCTTTTGTAATTGGTAAAATTAGTGTACTGTATAGTTTGTGGGCCCCACGTTTGTCTTACCATGTGCTTGTTTCCTGAATTAGCTGCATGTGTGTGTAATTATAAACTTACAGGATACTGGGAGCACTCCCTGGAGGAATCTGTGCCTTCACCTACCACTTCAAGTCCAAACCATGGTAAAATTATTGGGCTGAATATCAGTCCACCACTTGATGAAGTTTATTCCTTCATAGCTGAGTCCAGCTGCGATAGGCACACATTAAAGTTAGTCATTAACATTTTATTATTTATTTATTTATTTTGTTGCCCTTGATAGAGTTCTATGGCATCATAGCTCACAGTACCCTCCACCTCTTGGGCTCAAGCGAGTCTCTTGCCTCAGCCTCCCGAGTAGCTGGGACTACAGGTGCCTCCCACAACGCCCAGCTATTTTTAGAGATGGGATCTCACTCTTGCTCAGGCTGGTCTTGAACCCCTGAGCTCAGGCATCCACGTGCCTCGCGCTCCCAGAGTGCTAGATTGCAGGTGTGAGCCACTGTGTCCAGCCTAATTCACTAACTTCTAAATATGAGTCACTTTCTAGTGCATTACTCTGCTTTAATTTTCTTCCTTTATACCATTAATTAGAAGGACTTTTTCATGTACTGAAGTATTACCTGTCTCTCTGCCCCGTGTGGATGGGCATGGACCAGGCCCTAGGTCTGCTTTGCTTACTGCTCTAGCTCCTGGAATAGTCTCTGACATACCGAGATGCTCCTGGCCCAAAGGAATATTAAACGAACAGAAATTAAATGGAAGTTTCCCTTTTATTTTCTTCTTTACTTCACTGGGCCTCGGCACAAATTCAAAAAATCTAAATCCCAAAAGTGAGTAGAAAAACTTTCAAGGTGACTCAGGAAGTTATTCTCACTCTGCTTTTGGCTGAATATTTTTTTGCAGAGTGAGCAAAAGGCCAAGCAAGCTTTTGGAGTCAGGAAAGCTGGCTTTCTAATGGTCTGAGGGAGTTGACCAGCAAGCCTCCTGCCGAAATGGACGTCGCCGTGAGGGCTTCAATAAAGGACTCATCTTGGATGATGTTACTAAGGTCTATGTTATTGTTTAGGGAGTAGATGAGATACGAGAGACTGTCAATTTCTTCTTAGAATAATAGATTCAATCTCTGAAAGTT